AGTCCTGATGCTTGCTTTATCTCACACAATGCATCATGGTAGTAATACAGATGTTAGATTGGGGGATCAGCTTTCTTTCCACCCCATCTTTTTTTTATTTTTAAGGCCATCACGCTGTAGAATTTTCTTTAATTATCTTAATAATGTGATTTAAAATTAAAAAAAAAAAACAAACCAACAAAAACATTTATTTGCTTTTGGTTTGCTAATTAATGTCAAATTGTCATCAATTATTGAGTCTCATTAGTGGATTTCCTTGATGTTACATTGTTTCCAATTATCTACAATTATACAAAAAGCCTGACTAAGCCATTGTCCTGCAATGAGCTCCAGATGGGCAGAGGTGTCTGTTCAATGGGAGACCAAGCTTTTCCTTTGTACTGAGCCATATTTTCTCATCTATTTAAGTTTATTTTATTCTATTAGGGAACTGCATGCAGATTCTTACCTTACAGATGAGAGACAGCTCTAACAACTAGCTCTGGAAGTTCATTCTTGCTACGTCTCCTACCAGTGCACTGTTGCTTTGCTCGGTGTTTTGGGTTGGAGTATATGGGATACATCTGGTACTCCAGAACAGCTTTGCTACACCCAAGTCTGCCAATAGAGGGCAGCTTCAATTTTTCTGTTTTTAATATAGTACAGAAAAAGGCAAAACTAAGAGTGCTTGAAGCCAGCAGATGTGCAGTGAAGCTTGTACTTTGTTTTGGCAGGGTTGAGAATTGAGTTCTCTCTCTGTATTTTTAATATAAAATAAAAAAATACTGTTTTCCTGCCCATTTGATTAAAATACTGGGATACTTACTGAAAAAAATAGTAGCTCCTCTTCTTGCTCACACTCTTGAAAAAATAAATCCTTTTAAAAATGCAACATATTGTGCCTCTTGTTACTCAACTTCCTCTTATGCATCTGTCACTTAGATGGGCGCCTGCTGTTTGTTACACCAATGGACCCCTTGTTTCTGATACTTTACTACCTCATAAAGGCAAATAAGGAGGTAAGCCTGCTTTATTTTTTCACTGGATTTCTCAGGAGAAAATGTTATTTCTGACTTAATTTCCCGCAGAAGTTGTGTTAATTTTGCAAAGAGTGGCTCCCATTATAATGGAAATTTAATGTACATTTAAAGCAGAGACATCAACCCTAGAAGTATTTTTATTTGGATCAAGTTTTTTGGTCATTAAAGTATATTCCAGAAGTCAGATTGCAATCTCAACAAACAAGTCACCTCATTTTTAGGAGAAGCAGAGAATCTCTTTTGTCCATTTGTGAGAGCCTATCCTAGAACTAATGAATTTAAGTTTGTGACATCATCAGAGTAAAACAAACTAGTGCTCTTTCTGAGACATCAATAAATTAGTCATTTTGGAAAGGAAGGGAAAAAGAAAGAGGAGTGTGGATGCTATGGGGGCAGAAGAAGGAAAATTTTGGTCACAGTTTGAGCTTGAAAGAAAACATTGCCTTCTTAGAAGCAGTATTTGTAGAGATGCTGTATCATAAAGCAGCAACAGAACAATCAAGTATCTCAAAGTTGGGTAATTAATAAATCATCCAACTTAGTTGATTTATCATGGGTGTGGCAAAACCTCACTTAAATTTCTGAAGTGTATCAAAAGGCATAGACAAAGTTATTGATTGCCTTTGGAAAAAAGGGCATAAAATGTAAATGTTGATTTATTTATAACTTTTTTTTCGGGGAGGCAGTAATTTCATATTATGCATTCTAAGAGTATTACCTATAAAGTTGCTTGCTATTTTCTGCTTTAGATTGCAAGTGGAGAATGCAGTAGAACAGTTTTTGTATGGTGAAGAAATGAAGTCCTGGCTACACATTTGTAATACTAACCTCTTGTTCTGTGAAATTGTTAAAATTATTTATGGTATAGGATGTGCAAACTTACTCTCTATTTCTGGGGTCTTTTCCTGCTTTAGGCTGGCACATCAGAAGTCATTTCACAAAGAATAGGCTAGGCACTGTGCTCTGTTTGAATTCAGCATCTCTGATTGCTTTATAGCAAGCTTAAATCAGGGAAACAATAAATCTCCTTTGTCTATGTGGTAGAGAGTCTTGAGGTAGCCTGAATAAAGGACAACTACTGCAGCTGTTTCTGTGCATGGGAAGAGTCCTGTACTGCCCTTTACTTTCTCAGTACATTGTTTTCTAGGCAAGGCATGATGCATGATAAATGCATAGAACTGTTTTGGTCCTAAATCAGGGCAAAAGCATTCCTGCAGTGCCCTGCCTAACTCAGCATATTCTTGAGTGATGGGAAAACTGGGGAATTGCAGGATACCTTTTGCAAGGCCAACTTTGAATGCAGCACAATGAGTTCTGGCTTATACTAATGACTTATCAAGGTACCCAATGAGTATCTTAGAATCACCCTTTGCACCGTTATTTGGCTTTCATAGTGTGATGTAGGGTTGCTTAATGTATCTTTTGAGCAGAGCCATCGTGTGTCCAGCACTTGCGCTCTGTGTCCCTGCACAATGTTAAGTGTGGCTGTCTTGCTCTGGGGCACAAGCAGGTTTGTGCAGGTAAGTTTTCTATAGGAAACAGCTTATTGCAGCTTTATTTTTGTGCCTTATATCCTCTTTGCCATTGCTATTGCGCCTTTTCTTTTTAAAGAGAAACAAGTTCTAAATCCCTTACATGGGTTATTTTGTGTTTTGTCTTGTTTTTTTCTTGTTTTTACTGCGATGCAAGAAGTGATGGCTACTTTTCTTAGGCTTCTGAATGTCTAGGAAGAGGATTAATTAATAATGAAAACAGTATACTGAAGTGCTTTTCTTCATGCTGACTGGTATAATGATTTCAGCTTTGGCTCCTGAGACCATGCACTCCCTAAGGATGGAGAGCTCACTGAGTCTTTGTACTGATGCGCTAAAGGATCTTTCCAAAGGGAAAACTGCCAGTTGTGCCAGACCGTGCTGAATGATTATGCATTGTTTGGCAACAGCAAAATTTGTTTGATGGTTCTGTCATGTGCAGGGCTATTTAAGTTGTGCCAAAATCACTTTATATATGTACTCAGGCCAAACTGGAATTGACTTTGCAGAGGTGAAAGGTTAATACTGTGTTCCAGAAGCTGCCCTGTTCCTTTGAGATTTATCTTTATGGAAGGGAAAGCAAAATTTGAATAGAAGTTATGACACTGGTTTTAATCCAACAGGTTTTGGTCTAAAACACTGTTGGCACATACTAACTACTGTGTCTTATGTTGTCTTCCAAAAAATCCTGCTGTACTTCACATTAGTTTCTCCCCATGTTGTTTTAAATTCGATCTTTTAAGTGCAGTAATTGAGGAGTTCAGCATTTTGCAGGTATTTACTGGTTTGAAATAAATGTTTATAGTTTGCTTTGTAATCAGTTTCTGAATGTGTCATGGGTTACCATTCAAAATGTGATCTTCTTTAAATCCTTTATTTTAAAGCGATGGCCACTGCATGCTTATATATTTCTACATATGTATAGTATGTGTATGTTTCTTAACATTATAATAATGCTTTCGTAATCCCTTTGATGTGTTTTCAGCAACAAGGAAAGTTCCAGCCACTTAGTCAAGTTGTGCTAGACTCAGACTACCCTAGCTGCTCCTTGCTGCTGAAGTGTGCAGATGTTAACCAGTACATACATCATGTAACAGAAGAAAAAGGTGAAAAAACGGGCTGGGCGGGGGACAAAAAGTAAAAATAATAATAAAAATTTTTTTAAAGCCTGGATTTGTTAGTGTCATGGTTTTACAAGATAGATTTAAATACTTTATTTTTGCTTCTCCAAACACTTAAGCTGCTGGATGAAGCTGTACTTTAAAAACAGAAGCATAAGATTAGAAGTCATTATTACAGTATTATTAATAGTAATGTGTGCATGTCAGATTTTCTGCTTTAACTCCAAAATACTTGTGCAGTTGGTGGGTGTTACAGAAATGAGAAACTGATCAGAACTGGCTTCTTGATGTTGTGTGTTGAGAACTTGCTTTGCCTTTTGATGAAAGTTTTAAATCTCTCTAAATTATTTATTTAGCATAGAATGGTCTGATGTGGAAGAAGAAGTTAACCATTGTCCTTTTGGCTTTTTTTCTCCCTTTGTAACAAAGCATTCGAACAATAAGGAAAAAGTTGGAGAAGAGAGAATATGCTGCTGTTGGGAAAGAGAACACAAATTTTCTAGCTTTGCATACTTTAGTTTTGTGTGTTCAAGTTCAAAGCCTTATTTTTTATAAAATAGAAGACTTAGAAGACTTGATTGGGCTGCATACGTGTATGAGAGAAAACCTAAATGGAAAAAATCAGCAAAGCATCAATTCTGTACATAGTTCCTTCAACCTTTGCCCAGAATTCCCTTTGGTGGGGGGCTTTTATTTTATTTGAGGACAATATGTACTTTCTAGGGAACAGGGAGAAGCATTACATAATTTTCAGAGTTTGGCAGATCTGCAAAAGATGCAAGATCTCAGTTTTTATATTCCATGCTTGAAAGAGCATTTTCCTGATGCTTGCTGACTTCTTGCTAGCAAATGGAGATGGAGATCTACAGGAGGAAGTACAGGGGTCTGAGAGCATGGAATCTCTATTAAGTGCAAAATAACTAATCTGTCTGAGCTTTATGCATGTAGAGCTCCTCCAAGGAGTTGAGGTATGCAGATTAAAAGCTAAAAATACTAGAAATTTTTATTCTGCCCTTGTTGTGGATATATATGAAGCAATATTTAAATGATCTACACATAATTAGGAAGTGGTGAAGAAAAGGTAATGGAAGAATTAAAACCCTACTAGGAAGTAAAACACCAGACCTCTTTATTGCTGTATAGAACATTGTGGGGAGGAGTAGAAGTCAGTTTTTCCTGAAAGATGCAGATACACAAGTTTAAGTGTTGTCTGTGTGATATGGTCCATATGTAGAAACGTGGGACAGTTGCTTCCCCCCAGAAAATGGATTTGAACTTCAGAGCAGGACATGTTTCCACTGAAAATGGTCACTTTAACAAGAGAGTGGGCAATCTGGGCAGCAAGCCTATTGTTGTAATTAAGTGCTGTTGTGATACTCCTGAAAGAACCTTCAGAAAACATTTAGTTACATTCAGTATCTTAAGGAGCAGTCAACCTGTTTCTTTGGATGAGTTCCAACTTTTGGGAAGGCTTCTTAAGGACAGATGCATCTTTTCTGCAAAACAGGTTTTGCCTTTGCATGAAGTGATAAATACTTCCAGTAAAACCCATTATTAAACTTTTAGGCAGTTACTGTGCCCTACAACTTGTCTAGCACTGGCTAAGGAGCTAGGGGTGAGAGAAGTAGTATTAAACTTCTGTGCAAGCATCTGAGAAGGTGAAAAATTGTGCCAGGTCCACTTAGTTGTCTAACTAAGAAGTCTCTACAGGAATGTACACTGAAAGAGCACTTCCTCCAAACAGCAGTGCTCCCTTTGGACAGTATTTATGTTCCCTTCTTAACAGCAAAATGAAGATAAAAAATCTGCTACAGACAAGGTCTTATGTCTTCATCTAACCTCTGTTTCCATTCTGAAATTGCATTTACAGTTGTTTTCTGTCAGAGCATCCTCTGATAAACTGTATTCTGTTAGTAGTGAAGATGCTTTACTGCTTCATTTTTTGTGTTGATGTTTTTAGTTGGTGTCGTTTTGCCAGCAAATAATATTAACTGTTAAAGAGGTTACGTTCACTTCTGGGTTCTGTTTTGAAATGCAAGGTAAAAATTGCTTTTGTCATTTAAATTATACACACATGCACATATCAAATATATGTGGTGTTCTTGGATGTCTCTAGGCATGTACCTGCGTGTGCCTGCTGATTATTTTCTTGTTCACGTAGGTTAGGTTGAAAGTAACAGTGCAGCTTGTTCTTAGGATTTATTTCTTTTTTTAGAAAATGAAGGATATTGTTTTGCAACAAGCACATTGAAGCTTGCCTGTCATGCACAGATCACCTTTGTGTTCAGTCCACTTCTGTGTGTTTCAAATTCTCATGTTTTTTACTGCCTATAAAAGGTACCAATACTATGACTAAGGTACTCTTTCTAGCTCTAAGACCTATTGTCCACTTTGTAGCCTTTCTTGTTAAAGTAGTAGGGCTTTAGGACAAGAAGTACCTGTTATGTTGAGTCTTCTACAGTTCTGGTCTGTTTGACAGAACATAACAACATAATTATTTCGTTCTTAATTTATTTTTAAAGCATTTAGTATCTGTCTAACTCATGCTTATTCTAGAGCTCTCACAGTTTACACTTACTGAGTTAGCAGAAATCCACCTTCCCTGGCCTCAGTGTTGAATGGCACTGAATATTCATTTTGTTGGATTAAATTCCTGGTTACCTGCTTTAGTAGTTACGGAAAGGATGTGTTACACCTTGCAAAATCTGGATGAGGCAGGTTGTTTGCTAATAAATTCAAACACTGGATAGAAAGTACTACAGAGGAGGTTTAAGAAAGGGTTATGAACTCCAGTTGTACACTGTTACACTTTGTTTCATTTTGCAAGACAAAAACTGCACTGTGATCTTGTCTGATGTGATTAACATGAAGAGCCAAGAAAACTTACCTGATTAGAGTAACTAAGTAATATTGCCAAGCTTGAATTCCCAGAAGGTAGGAAAAAAGGGGCCATATGAGTTTCAGAGTTATGGAAAACACTGAGAAAATGGATATTAAAATGTGCTTTAGGCAGTTTGCTCAACAATACATCAGGGAAACTTCCAAGTCTACATTGCGATTACCTGATCGCTGAACATATTATTTAATTGTAGAACCACTTATATTCCATCTGTATTTCTCAAACCCAGTCTTTCCAGATGTCTCAGACCAGTTTTATAGGCACCAGACACATTAGGGAACAAAAGGCTTTCCAATATATACTCATATTATCAAACATAGTCACTAACTCTCACCAATATCAAATGTGCATCACATGTTAAATCCACGTTCCAATACTGAATCCTTTTGTCAGCAGTTTGTGACTTTCATAACTCATTTTAATTCTTCAGAGGTCTCAAATATTGTCAGTTTCTAGAGTTTAACAGTCAAAACTGTCAAGCACACAAAATATTTTCAAACAAAGTGATCTCTAAAGGGTTCAGTGTAATTATTTTTCACATGTTTTAATGAAAATGGCTTCACAGTTCTATGTTTCCTTTCCCTAACCGAGTCACTCTTAATCATGCTGTTGTGGGGGAGTCTGCCTGGGAATCCGAACTAGAATTACTTTTCATCATGGGTTGGGGAATGGTGGCCGGAGGATGTCCCTTCCTCGAACTTTCTTAGATAAGAGAGGAATCTATGAATTGTACTCACTGTACTTGGACCCAAACCATGGTAGCTTTTTGAGAAGCAGGTTCAAGTATCTAGTGTGTCTTGCCCATTTTCTGCTTCTTTTCTTTCAGAGGCATTTAGAAGCTTCTGAGTCCTAAAGGCTGCAGCCAGCAATGAATGTCACAGCTAATTACTTTACCTGCAGCTCATCAACTTCATGAAGCAAAGTATATATTACTGGTGTTTATTTTCCTTTTTGCTCTGAAGAATTTTTGCGTTTTCCTCTTCTACAACTGTTGAAACAGATTTAAACTATATTGTAAACAGCTTTCCTCGACCTCTCCATACCCCCTACCATGCATACACAAAAATCACACAAGAGTTAGCTATTTGTAAGCAATTTGAAAGAGCCAAGATAAACCCCAAAGAAGAAAATGCTGAAGGAGTCATAAATAACATGTTGTTGTTTGCAAGGGGAGAAGGAAAATCCATGAACTGAGTGTTGGAATATGATACGGGATCAGTAAATGACATGAAACAGATGTAGGTATTTATGGGAATGGAATATAGGAGATTAAAACTTTCTGAAATACCTGTTAAAGACTGAAACACAGTGTGCTCCAAAATCTCCTGTGAACTCCCATTAGGCATTTCATTCCATTTCCAAAATGTAGCTTTCTGTTACTGCATTTTTAATACTGAAGTTCCCATGAGCCTTTGTCATTTTCTCTCTCCTTTGCCTCAGCATCATGAACTCACATATCTCCAGTTAACTGAGCACATGTGAATAGCAAGTGTTCATGATACCCTAGTTGTCACAGGGGAAACACTTTCTGAAATTCTTATATCATTGAATTAATTTATGTTGCTCAATAAACCATAAATGAATCATGTACTTCCTCCCACAAGGAGTGTGTTTCACTATTTTGGATTCTGTATTTTCTTTTGACACTATATTAAACTACGTAAAAGAAGGATAGAAGTAAAACTTTGCTTTAGTCACCTGTGAAGTGAGAGGGGCAAAACTGGGAAAACTAATAGGAGAAGGGTTTATTGAAGGGGTAGATGGTTTGTTTTCACTAACCAATTCTCCTTCCTGGCCCTTTACTAGGTTCTGGAATTTCATAAGTAAAGATTCAAGATACTTCGTTTTTAAAAAACCCAACAGTCATGGAACCAACATTTTGTGTTGTAAACTATGTAGTTAAAATGGCCGGTCTGGTGACACAGGGCAGTGAAGGTTTGGCAAACTGCAAGGAGTTGAGAAGAGTCTTAGTGAATTCAAGCAGCCTAAGATTACACAAAAATTAAAATATGTGCTTTGCTGGATTAGGGTGTAATTAAAGAATGATAAAGTTGTTCAGACATGTGAATATCAGCTCAATCTGTTTATTTTTACATATTTTCTATATTTTTGAAACTTACTGCCCTGATATCCAACATGTGCAAGCCACAAATTAACTTTCCTGCTGTATCTACAATGTAAAAGATTTTAAATATATTGAAAATGCAATCCAAACGAGTCTTGACTTTCTTCCCCTTGTTTTTTTCTCAGAGATTGGCAGTCAGAAATTCCATAAATACAGCCAAGAGAAGACACTAAAGTGGTTAAAAAAAAAGGTATTGTGTTTCTCTTTTGCTTTCAAAATTGCTATATGTTTAGAATGAAAATGCATGTGAGCTTGTCCATATCTGCATTTGAGCTATGTGGTGTGCCTCAGTTCAAAGTACGTGTCATGTCCAAGAAGGACAGACATCACAGAACGGTTGTTGCACTTGGGAACCTGATGAGGTAGTAGAGAAGTTACAGGTTTGTTATGTTTCTCTTTCTGTTGGGGCTGACACAAAAGGGATTTGTGGATTGTGGGGAGGCAGAAGAGGAAGCTGAAGTTCATCATATTGTTGTGTTCTGTAGCCTTTGCATAAGGTCATGGGCTTGTCCTTTGCTTTGTCCACTTTACAGATGGGCTAGAGAGAGAGCTTTGACTGTTGCAACTTTTAAATTCTGCCGTGCTTTAAAGCTGGACAGAAATGCCTTGGTTTTGCGATACAATTGGTTTCCTCATGAAGTTTTGGCAGAGCCTCTCAGGATGGTCCTGGTATGGTTGCTGCTATCCTTATTCAGGAGGTTTGTATGGTGTGCAGAAAATAAAATAGTGTTATAGCTAAGCTTAATGTGGCCTGTGTAAAGAAGGCAGATCTCATTTGACACTCTGTTCTCTGAGCAGGTGTATTTCTCACCTGTATAATCATAGCTGTTGCATCTGAGTAGCTCAGTTCATCTTAGGGTGCTGCAAAACTGGTGCCGTGTTGCCAAGGCAACACGTTCAAAGACATGCTTGTGTCTTTGGGGTTTTTTTAGCTCATATGCTTGTCATTACAAATGTATATTAAATTTCACCACAGTCCATAACTTGAGTGTTTTATATGCTTGAAACAAAATTACAAGAGCTTTGTCACTGTATTAACATGTGCATAACAACACTGATACAGACATTTCATTCTCTGGTTTTCAATAGGTCAATCAAACAGTGAAAGCACTTCAAAGCAACAATATATCTGTAGGTGAAAGGTTGTATGCAGCTACATTTGTCAGCTGTAAACAGAACACAGATAGTGAAGAAGGTAAGAAAACTAAATGTAATTAATTTCATTTTTGTGAAATCACACAAAGGGAGAGAAAACTGATTATTAGAATCTAAAAGGTATTGAAATTAGCCTTTGCAGTAAATTTATTCCTTGTGCAGAAAGTTCCGTATGTGTTGTAACTGTGTGCCTTGACTTTTCTGAGTTTTTTGGTATCTTCATTGAATGACATTGTAATGCTTCTCCTTAGCCAATGATGATGTTTTTCTCCATTAAACATATGCTGAACTGAGACTGTCTTGGACAATAGGACACATGCTTATACTGTATATATGAGAATCTGCTCAGTAAGTGTCTCTGTATTAGAACAGACTTATTTTTAAAAGTTATTATTAATTTTATTATTATATTTGTTTTGATAGACTGCTCCAAAAAGGGAAGGGATCTTAGGAAGTTATAGTCACAGAATAAAAGCTTCTTGCCCAAACATTACTTTATGTAACAAATGTATAGAACACACAAGTGTGGGCTTCTTAAGGCCAAAAAACTTAAATAATGTGTGTTTAATTGCCCTGAAATTGAAATCCTGTACCAAGAAGTCTGGAGTGATCTTGTTTGTTCCTAGTCACTTTTTCCTTGAGGAGGGCAATATCCTGAATGTTAGTGGAGTATGAAGAAACCTGAAAATGAGCTCGGAATAAATTCTTAGAAAGTTAATGAAAATTAAGGAAAGTTTGAAACAAGACAAACAAAGGCAAATTGTTTCTTATTACAAAGGCATTCGTAAGTCTGCATGCTGTTGAAAAATAAGCAGAAACAAAGCAACTTGCTGACAAAGTGGAAAATGAGTTACCATGTAATGATATCAAAGGAAACAGCATAAATGAGATTTAAGAGGCAACTAGACAGTTTTATAGAACAGATATTGTAATATATGGTTTTTAAAAAGAGGCAAAGCTGCAAAACTTGTGGCTTTAACTTTACAGTAGCTTTTAATCCTTTTCCCTACCCCATTTTTTTTAAGAAAGGGAAAATTGTCCTACACAGAAACCATCTCAACTGTGCTTAAATACTTTATCTCAGAAATTTGTAATTAAGTGGCTCATCTGCAGTGTTTTTTCCACCTACTACTTACTTACAGTAACACGGATATAGAATTCTTTTAAAAAGCTTTTTAAGATTTAAGAGTACTAGGGGTTAAAAGTAGGTATGTTTTGGAGGCAGTCTCACTCTGTGTAGCAAGGTCAATGACAGGAAGTCAGATCGACCTTAGTCAACACTTATTTTTAATAAGACTAAATTTTGTCTCGTTCTTTCACTGCCATGACAGTGCAATTTATTTCTGTAGAGAAGTGCTTTCCTTGGGGTATTATGACATTTCAGTGTCTTGTAAGTAGGTGGATATATGTAGTTAGTATCTACAGATGTTGTAGGGCAAAAATCTGGCAGAAAATAGTGAGTGCACGTGAGGGGAGTTTTAACATGTGAGACCTGAATATTTCATTCAGAAGACAAAGAAGTGAGGTACACAAGTATTCCTGATGTTTGACAGATTATTAACAAAGTAAGGCTGGGGTGAGAACACAGACTCCTTAGAACCAAACAGTGGTATTTTAAAATTGGTAAAGGAAGCCAGTGAAGATTGCTTCAAGGCATAAATGCAAAGAGAATGGATTTTGTGTTTAGTACAAAATAATAGCAGTTGACTTAGACTCACCATTCAGTGTCATATTGCAAAGACTGAAATGCAAAGAGAATGGATTTTGTGTTTAGTACAAAATAATAGCAGTTGACTTGGGCTCACCATTCAGTGTCATAATGCAAAGACTGAAATGCAAAGAGAATGGGTTTTGTGTTTAGTACAAAATAATAGCAGTTGACTTGGGCTCACCATTCAGTGTCATAATGCAAAGACTGAAATGATGGGAATATTTATCTTAAGTGATAAATTGGGCATACTAAGTGCTGAGGTGAAATTGTCTTGGGTTGGAATTATTTCTTGTTCTCCTGACCCTAAAGTGGGCTTAGGGAGTGACAAATCTTTGATTAATCTAGGCAGTAGAGGAAGGAGAAGTACAGATAGGAGATACTAACAATTTGATGTCAATGTAGTTAAAATGCGTATGCTGATGTCAGTATTTTAATGCTTTCTGCTTCAACACCAGTTTGCAGTGGTCTTTTTAGATTAAAAAAAAATACAACAACCCCCCTCCAAAACAACAACAAAAAAAAGCTAAAAGAAAAACTCAAACAATAATGGCAAACTGTCTCTGACACAGGTAAAATAGTTATTTATCACCCTGAGGCTGGTTTGCTATGTGCTTCTGAAGTCTCTAAGTGCACAGGCATATGAACAGGTAGAGCTGGCCTATTGTGAATGAAATTCAGAGGTGAGATTTTACAGAATCACAGAATTGTTCTGGTTGAAAAGACCTTTAAGATACATTGAGTCCAGCCATAGCCAAACTTTACCAACCATTAACCTAACCTCTACTGAGTCCAAAGTCCGTCTTAGCTTAATGTCTGGCTGGCAATATTTTCTGTGCATTGGTGCAGGTACTCCTTAGCATCCCCAACAAAGCAAGCTTAAAAGATCCAGCCCGTGATCAGTAAGTACTTGTATAGAACGTGACCAGAAAAGATCTTCTTCAGGACTTCATGTTATAAAAGGGTCACTTTTTTTTTTCCCCAGTCTCTCAGAAAAAAACGTTTATAGCAGGAGTGCCCTGTACTGAAAACAGCTTCTAGTAGTTCATATTTCCACAGATAATTATCCCATCTTGCCAGTGATGTTTAGATAGGCTTTGGCATTTTCCATAAAGTATTGAAATTAAGTACAAGACTTTGAAATAGACTCATTGTCTCATCTAATTGTTTTCAGTCAAAGCCAGAAAATGTACTTTAGTACTGAAGCCCTTGCCAAATAATTGTAAGATCCAGATGCTTTAAAATTAATGATTGTGTGTTCTGTTGAGTCAGCTTTTTACTTTTGCAGGTTTCTAAAATTTAATTTATTCAGAAAAATACATGATATCTAGTATTCTCAGAAAGCGAACAGCTTTTTTAATGCAGCAGATATTAATAACATGTGCTGACAAAATGAATGTAGTAAGTCTTTACTTTTTAAATAAACCTACAAGTGTCATGTAACATAAACTACTCAACACAGAGAATCATGGCAGTGTATCCATTAGAAGTCTCTTACTATTAATGCAACCTTATGATTTATGGTAACACATGCAGCATGGCTAAGGCAACGTGACTATATAACGTGAATGTTCTTTTTCTTCTTCCCACTCCCTGCCCTGTTCCTGAAGACTATGTACGGTATGCCCATGGGTTAATATCAGAATATATTCCAGAAGATCTGAGTAAGGAGTTGTTAAAATACTTAGGGTGAGTATTGTTCCAGTGAGCTGCTAGTTTTATATGTCGTATATCAATGTTCTTTCAGTCATTTTTATTGAACACTGAGATTTTTTTAATCAAGGTTGTAGTGAATGACACAATGAAATTATATTTGCCACACTTCAAATACGATTTTTTTCCAATGCTGGTTTTTCCAGTTCCTGTGTTGCTAATGACCATGGGCTGGACGGGAAATGCAATCTATATCTCTTATGTCTGTTACGTAGTTGCATCATGAAACCCCGAGCAATGTATCCCATTATAAAGCAAGGTGGGGAAGGAAATCCAAAGATTTAAAGCAATTTGTCCAGAATTCTCAAGCACGAGCAGCAGAGCCAGGAGTTGAATCCGCGTCCCCAGTCCTTTTTCCATTTCCCTACTCAGTTGTGCTGGAGTTGACTTCACATATCTAACCTGTATTAGTTTACATTTAAATCTGGAAGGTGAGCCAACATTGTCATCCTGGTGTTCCCTGCCAGCAGCAGACTTTGCTTGGAGCATCACTGGGACCCTGCACTTTCCCCCTAAGTTCAGTTCTGTTCAAAAGGTTTTGTTATGGTGGCCTGTGGAAAAATGTGCCACTTCCAGATTGAAGTCCCATTGCTTAACAGTTCCATTGAAGCAATGTTAAGTGCTTTGCAACCTTACAAATAGCCAAGGTTTTCAAAAGTAAGATGGAGTTCTCCTGTTCTGGTTGCCAGATCTAAGAACTTTTAAAAGAGCCCATGCTTCTGTATCGTGCCTGACTCTGTTTTAGTTATCTAAGTCAGAAATACAGACTCCGTGAACTACTTTTTTTGCAAATTCATGCCATGTGTGAGCAGCTGATAACCAAAGCAGCCTTTGTGAGGAAGGAATTACAAGCTTTAGGTTGTGCAATACAGCTGTCTTAGTTTATAACTTGAAATCTTTTGTTCTACAGGCTCCCAGAACTTAAAAGTCCAGCATCAGAGCCACCATTGAAGGTAGGAGAGCATTAAAATATTGACAGATACATTGTGTTTTAAGCTAATTTCTCTTGAATTACTAAAACTAGACTAGGCCAAGCACTGGGTACAATGCAGGAAGTCAGTTGGCCTTGGGAAAAGCCAGTCTGAAATAACCCAAGGTTTACCAGGTACTTTGTATTTTTTTTAAATTAGGAATATTTTGGTTGGTTTTCCTGTTTAAAGAAGAGAAGAGAAGGAGAGAGACATATTTTATGGTTTGGGTCAGCAGTCTTTTCATATGTGTTTTGCTTGTTTAGTTTTATTGAGGTTGATGGGATAATATGACCTCATAGGTTTTCATTCATATGTAATTTATGAGGACCCTGAAAGGGACCTCCTGGGTCATGGATTCCCAGACAACCATGTTGGATAATCTCTCATACATTGACCATTCTTCACTGTAAGTCTCATTAGGATTTTTTATTTCCATTACTTTTCTTGGAAAACTGTTCTATAACCTCATTCCTCTGATGCTCAGAAACTTTCCTGTAAATTCCACCTCGAGTTTATTCATGGCCAATTTATTCCACTGTGCTTTTATACTAACATTATCATTGAGGGTTTTTTAATTGAAATGGCTCTTTTCCCTCCCTAAGATTAGTTCTCTCAGTGTGTAAAGGGAAATAATATATCCTTTATGTTTTCATTTTGTGAAGCCAAACTTGGTTGTGTAAGATGGGTTCTCCATTCCGTCATCATTGCAGGAACATTTCTTTACACCTATTCCAAGATGAATTCAATTGTTTCAAAGCAGGAGACCAGAATTGTATATAATTATTCACAATAAATACTTTACTGGTACAACATGATGGCATTCTTCCCCTCTCGTCTTAACTGGAAGTAATTTATCTCATTACATCCTAGAATCCCATTTGCCTCTATTACTGTGTGATGTACTAGATATCTCACAGTCATGTTCTGAACAGTTAAAACACACAGTTAGTTGTTTTTTCTCCACTGCAATTTTCAGTTAACCAGCAGTCAGGTTTACAAGAAGTGCATACAGTTAGCAACTGTGTACATGACCTTCCACTTCTGTACATTTCATCTGTTTTTAATGTTTTCAGTCTTGAAGGTTCCGTATCTTTTGCTTCACAGTGTGAAAAGCTGTATTAGATATTCATAATGCTACTCAGTGGTGTACATTTAGCACATGATCGCATGCTGTTATCTTTAATTAACAATTAACATCTGTTTTGAATAGATATATTGGTCATGGCACTCCACTACTAATCTCTGTTCAATCCAGAGACATCCCTTTCTGCATTATTTGTCTTTTTTTACCTTTTACCCAGTTTCTTACCTAATCTTTGTTTTATATAATTTCAGTTGCTTAAGTGGCACCGTGTCAAATCCTCTAGCAATCCTCATGCTTTGTGTAACAACAAATCTTTGTTGTTGTCTTTAAGAAAAAAAGACAAATCAGACCATACCTGTGTTTTCTTTTACTGCATCATTCTTTCCTCTTCCTTCTTTCACTTTTTCACTTTTTCTCCCTCCTGGATTCTGCTGAGGCCTAATACCACTTTTTCCTCTTCCTTAGATGGGTGTTTGGCTGTTCTGCAGCAAAATGGTCCTTACCTGATAGCACAGTTGCCAGGTTTTGCCTCTGGATTTATTTTTTCTGAGGCAGTTTCCCAGCGGTGTCTGCAATTTGAGTTTTACTTATATCTTGAATAGAGTGATTTCTAGTCTCTTAATCTGCCCCTATATTTAACTTCTTCATCTTAATTGAAAACAATTTGCTGAGGCAAAGGATTCATTCCATTTTGGGGCTACACATAGATTAGCTTTAATATCTATCCAGTCCTTACTGTATAGCACCTTCACTTTTTTTTTTTTTTTTTTTTTTTATTTCCTTTAGGCTTCTGTGGCTAAACAACCTTCTACTATTTGTTTTAATTTCCTTTCCAAGGTCTAACTCAGCTTGACTCTTTGGCAATTCTCACTTTGTCCCAGTATTACCTGACCCCTAAAACTTTTTCTTTTTTTGGCAGTCTTTTTTTTCCCTGTTCATTGTAAAATTCTGTTTATTCCTAGTCTCTTTTCTGGGGGGGAGGAGGGTGTAATATGTGTGCAAGGGAGAGCATTTATAAAGTTTAATCTGAGAAACACTTTCCTTCAAGAGTTTTCACTCTGCTTGAAGCAAAAGATCCAAAAATCACTTCTTCCATCTTTTTCTTTTGCATTCCAAGTGTTCTTCTCACAGATGAAGTCCTTTTGCTTTGGTTTAGAGAAGTAAAGCATATGGCTTGCAAAGTTTACACCTCTAGAATCAAGAACCCCACTTTTGATTATAATTTCTATTTAATTTAAACTAAGGGACCCTATGTCTACTGAAACCAGGTTACTTACTACACCAACCTTTCCTGCAAAGTCCCTGCTACTTACTGAAAAAAAAGTGTAAAATAACCTCATTTCTGGCTGGTTCAGTGGCTGTTCTGTTAAGCGGTATGTCAGCTAGCACATGCAGGAATAATTGGTCCCTACTGTTATTAATAGCATTTGTTCTCCGATGTATATCCATGGATATAAGTTATTTCCATGTGCTTGGACAGTTGTTCTGGCTGCATAGTTACTTGGCCCTTTGATTCCGTTAAGAATTATCTTTATGCATTGTAAGAAATGTTAAACACCCATCAGGAGCCAACTAATATTCATTAGCCATATAAGCATGTTACGACAACTATATTAAAGTACATGTGATGTACATTACATATTATGAATTAATAGCTTTTATACCATTGGGCTAGTTCTGAGAATATATATATTTTTTTTTTAATAGTTTTATTTCAACAGTTTGGTTACAGAGGAAATGAGGCTTAGGACTGTTCAGTTGTCGGGCAGTGAAATCTTGCTGAGGATCTGATTAGTTTCCAGAGCACTGACCAGGATGTGTATGATGCTTCTGTGATTAAATCTTTACAACTTCAGAAATCAAAATAGTCTTTTATTTCACAATCTCAGAGGAGTAAGGCAGTCTTGTACGCTGGAACCTGTAGTCTCCTTCAGACCATTTTTTATTTATTTGCATTTCTCTCTATGAGGACAAGGGTAGTGACAGACATAGTATAGGATTATTGCAAATACAGAAGGGTCTAACATATTTTTCTGTTATGGTAAAATAACACAAGTTTAGAAATGTTGTTAAAATGAATTCTGAAGGGAGGAGAGATTTAGGAACTTCAGTGGCTAACAAAAGCTACAAGTGATTATCTTGTAGTACAAGAGTAAACTGGGTGCAGTCTGGAGTCAGTGATTTAATGATTAAATCAGAATTACGTGTGCTTTTATATTCATTCTAAGCCATTGATCTTGCAATCATTGTACTGTCCAGTTTGGCAGCTTAGGTAGTCTGGCCATTGGCAGATGATGACAGATATCTACAAAAAATATGTAGGTTCTGCTACAACTGAACAGCAGAAGTTTTGCTGAAATGCAATCATTTTGTTGTAAGTTTTAAAAACTTCTTTATCAGATTTCAAAATAAGGAGAACAGTAATTATTCATTAGATTGTAATTTAAAAATGTAATCACAGCACAGTAAACAGTGTCCTAGAGAAGCTGATCCAGATCCCGTTGAAGTAAAAAAAAAAAAAAGTCCACTGTTGGATCTGGTTCTGAGAGCTGAGAAATCTAAGCTGCAGACCTGCCTTCTGTGCCAAAAAGAGAGATGAAGAGAGGGAGAGAGAGATCACAAGCACCATAAACAAAATGAATAAAACAGGATCTTAAAATGTATGCTACCATCCAAGTTGCTTGCAAAATCACTCTCTTTGGCACAAAAACTAGGAAGGCCACAGTTTAGATTTCACAGGATATTAAGGACAGGGTAGTAATATCAGATATATAATAATAATAAAAATACAGTGTTGTAAAATACTACATACTTTTTTTTTCCCCTTTTGGAAACATACCAGGAAGTTTTCACCTTTAAACTAAACACATGCTCACAGTTTATGGAAAGAAGTATTCATTCTTGCAGCCTGATCTTGCAAAGTGCCAAGAACCATTCACTTCCATTATTTCTGAAGTTAGAAGGCACCCAGCACATGCAGATTCAAGCCTCTTAATATACTGTTGGATTCAAGCAATGAAGCAGTCAGCAGAACTATGTCAGTGTTTCACTGTTGCCAAACTGTAGAAGCTAATTACTTCTAAAGCTGTGCACAAGCAGATAACAGACTAGATAATGATCCACTTGTGTTAGCAGATAGCTGTAATACTGGAGTTGCTGCACAGTCCCATGAGACCATGGGGACCAGAGTCTAGGTTCCCTGGCTGTTAGACACTGACTTCCAACAGCTGCTCCATAAAAGTTCTCTGACTCTTGACACCAAAGTTGCAATCATAGAAATTTAGAACAGGATTCAAGTGATTTCTAGAAGTCATTCTTCCAAAGGCTAGAAAGAAGAAAATGTTTCCCATGACACTGAATGATCTCTGAGTACTGTAGAGATGGTATATACTCAGGTGTGAAGAAGATAATTACTATGAAGAATCTTCCACTGGTACTACAAATTCTTCAGTTGACTGCCAGTCCTATTTTCGTGCTATGGTTATGTTATAAAGCCAAAGCTTTAAACTTCCATGCATGTGCATCATAAAAGTGATTGTCAGAGCAACTTCCTCACTCTAACATTTCAGAAAAGGAAATTATCAGATGTCCCTGTGGAAGCAGAAGAAGACTATACTAATTTTAACAACAGCAGTGTGAAAGCCAAAAAGGTAAGCAAACCTTGCATTCATGCATGTTATGCTAAAATGCAGACTAATATCCAAGGTTAGCACAGAATGCCTGTTTGTCTTCTCTGAAACACTTCAGAAAAGCAAATACAAAATTACACGTCTGTAGTTTTATCTCCTTGACCTTTTCATTCAAGTTTAATTTTACTTTGATAGTCTTAATGTCCCATTCTGAACTTTTCTGTATTGTTACTGTTTGACAGTATTTTATCAGTGAGCATTCCAGTGAAGTTCATAGACTTTGACACACGTTAAGGTCCTCAGCTAATGTTTGTAAAGGTCTTTGAGATCTTTAGGTGATAGATTCTATGGCTTAGTGATAGAAACTGTTAAATTTCAGTTATTTGAAAGAGAAACAAAGATGGCAGCATTGACTTCAGTTCCAAGGAATGCTAAGACAGGCTTTATTTTTACCTAGAAATATTGCTTGTGCACTTACTTATGTCAACTTAATGAAGCTAAAGCAACACAGAGCTTGCTGATTGCCAGCTCCAGCACAAGTTTGTAGGCCAATTCAAATCCTGAGTCCAGTGGTGCCTGCCACTGTACTATTCCTAGGAGAGTAATGGAGATGTGAAAAGAAATAGATTCTGTCTCTCTGTGCCAAAGTTGCAAGGCTTGCACTGGCTTATTTCTCTGAACGTTGAAAGAAAATGAATTCTTCTCCAGTCTATCGGCAACCAAAAAACTCTCTGTGCTGGTCTCATGACCTTCAGACTAATGCTGACTACTCTTAATCCCTTTACAAAGAGAAGCAGCTGGTGACAGATGCATTCCTTCCTTCTCCAAAAAGACCTTGAGAATTTTTTGTATTGAGGACACATGCTAGTTTTTAAGTAAGAAGAGGGTTGCCTCCTAAGTGAAGATGATAAGTAATTTAAAATATGCATGTTTACCCCATCCCCGGTTTACGTATCTAAAGCTTTTGAACTGAGCATAAAGATCGAAACAGACTGAGGAGAGATAATTCATATTAACATTAAATATGATTTGCTTCTGAAATAATGAAGCACACAGATGAGAGAATCTGGGAAAGAAAAGAGAGCTCTTGGATTCTGTACAGTATACTGCTCCTTTTTAAATACTTTGGCAGTGTTTTTGTTTGTATAGTAACACAGTCATACTGTTGTTGCATATCTCCATCTTATCCATAACCTTCTAGCTGATCCCAAGTGTTGTAATTGTGAAGTCCTACAGACTGAGGAGTATCATAAAGAAAGGTCAATGCAAAGTTTTCTTAATAGGGAAAACAGCTAGAGATTTAAAATATAACATTTTAAAACGTAAGAAAGAAAAAGGGTCAGCTCTATAAAATGTGGCTCATAAAATGTGTTTTAGGTGTGAAAGTCTGGGAGGTTGTCCCACTGGTCTCAAAGTGCTTTGCACATGTTAGTTACCTTCTTCATTCTTAGCTCTTCCATCTCTTTTCCCCTTCTTTCACTGTGCACAGAGTCTGGTAATAAATCAATGTGAATTATTCATCATCTGTAATGCAAGTCTGTAATTCAGCCTGCTGACAGCATAATCATGAGATTGAGTTGGAGGGTACAGTATGCATCTGTTATATTGCATGCATTATTCCTCTTAATGTACACTCAGGGATTATCCTAAAGTAAACGTTTGAGTTGGGATACCTCATTCTGCAGAAAGGAAAGATGTTTCACCTCATTGTCCTTGTAATTGATTCTCTGTTTTTGTCTGAGGTTAAGTAATTTGTGACAAGTGTTTTTCTGTTTGAATAATCTCAAATTTGTTGAGTAAGGTTTTTCTCCTGCAGCTTAAAGCCTGCATAACCTTAGCATTACTGCTGTAACCTAAAATACCAATCCAACTTCTTGCTTGACTTCCGTATTTAGGAGTTTGTAGCTTCTACTCCCCTCTTATGGAGTTGCTCCTTAATTTCTTCTGTTTATTGTTTCACTAACAGGCAAACAGCAAGATGACTGCAGCACAGAAGGCTCTGGCCAAAGTTGATAAGAGTGGAATGAAATCTATTTCTTCTTTCTTCAGCTCCAAACCTAAAGCATCAAAATAAAGGATTATTCTTGAAAGATTTTTATACAGTAGTTATTTTTATGTGAAGCTAAAGACGTCTCCTGGGGTTTTTTTGTTAGTATAGTATATGCAGGTCATGTCTGTGTACACGGTGGAGTGCGATGAAGAGATCTGAGAGCTACTGTGGGAGATCTTCCAGCCACAGTGGGGGAGATAGCCTAGCTGGGTCAGCATGGTCCTGAGCTGAGAAGTAAAGGTTAGTGCCTTTGGTACACCACGTGGTACCATGCCGTGCTGCTGCTGCTGGTTCTAGAGCAAGCTCAGTCAAGGCTACCACCTAATTTTCTCCGTTGCACTCCATTCTGGGCTGGAAACATGCCCTCCTTTTATGACTTTTTAAGAAGAGTTTTTTGTTCTTAATGAGCATTCTTTGTTGAGACTTTCTGGAGATTTTTACCCAGTGTAACACCAGAGTAGGATGGCATCATTAGTTTTTTGTATTGACCCAAATTGAAGTGCTGAGTAAGCGTTGCTGCAATTTATCAAGGCAAAGATAGTGCTTATTGGGATTTTGGTTGTTTTGAATATGCTAGAAAGGAATTGCAATAAATGTCAATGTGTGTGTAATGCAATAAAGTGCTTCACGTAACAAATTTGTGCTTGTTGTATTTGCTGCATGTTTCAAGAGTTAGATTAGGCCTCAGGACATTTCTTAAAGGGTTTTGTTAAATTCCGATGTATAAATTTTAATCCTTAAAGAATTACATCATTTTGGACTTACATGATAAATCTCTTAACATATATCAATATTGGGGTATTTTCATGTTCAGTTCCAAGGTCAGTTGGTCCTTAAAAAAAAATAAATTAGGGAAACATTTATTTAGAAGCAAAACTTGGATTTTTAAAGAAGCTGGATGCATAATTCAAAAGCTAAAGTATAACTATCTTGGATAAGGTTTAGTTTTATGGAGTTTTGTGCAAGGTAGGGTGGTTACTTAAAATGCAGTGCTCACTCTTGGATGTCTTATTTCCTCATTGCAGATTATTCTTAAATATTCAGAGGGATAGCTATCTGCTTTGTTGCAACTTCCCTAATTCACTGAACTGAAAAATAAATGGGAGTTGCTGGGTTCATTTATATAGGTCTAGTCAGTTCTGCACGACACAAAATTTGTACCTTCATCCACCAGTTGTTGCCCCGAGCCATTACTGTGGATCAATGACAATGCTTTAGAAAGACACTTAAAATACATCATTCCTTGCTACTTCAGTGCTACAGAGAATCTGCCTGTATCCCTTGATTATGGGGAGTTTCAGAGAAACAAGGGGTTTCTTAATTTTTAGTAACTATGCTTCAGTAACTATGCCCTTTTTCCACTCCAGACTGACTTGCTGCTGGATACAACCCATGGATTACCCTGGTGTCTGTAAAGTTATAGAGCTCTGTGGCATTCTCAAAAATTAGTGAGAAGCCTTGCTGTGTGTGTGCAGTTTTATGCTTGTTTTGGGAGTGTTTATGCCTTTCAAACAAGTGTTCTTTTCAAAGTTTCCATCATAGTTTGTAAATGGGGATGTCAGTATGGTTGGAATTCCAAATAGTGGAAAATGGTTGAAAATCTATGGAATTATGTAACAAATGTGGATGGGTTCCCAACAGCATACAGTTAATGTCCCCAGTTCTAAAAATGGTTGTCCAAAGTGAATTATCTAGAACCAAAATGAAGTTTCTTAGGAAAAAAATGCTTTTTAGGCATTCTGAAGATTCACTACTCCAAGTCTTCCATATCTCTGAAAATCAGTCTGTAGTACCAGTTTTTGAACTTAGGCTGAGAATTGTGATTCAGATGCAGAGACTTTATTGGTTTTTCTGTTAGAATTATTATACCAAGCCATTTGGTGCCTTAATGAAATTCCAGTCATGAATATCAACGTTCTGAAAAAATATAAGGGGGTGGGGAGCAGTAGGGGCAAAAAACCTCAACCAGTAGTTCCTACATGGACCCATAGAGAAATTCCTGCTACACCACATTGCTTTGTTCAGCTTTCTTCAGCATAATTTCACCAACTCTATCAGTAAAGTTTGCCTTTCTGACACTAACTATCAGATGAGTTTAAGATGTCAGTGTATGTGACAATTTCTGTGTACACCACCTTGAGAGTTACCATCTTGCTTTTTTCCTTCCTTACTCGTCTTGGCTGAAAGTGAGAACCAGCCCTGTGGCAGCATGTATTTTTTAATCCAATGGATCCTTGCTATGATTAGAAAGAACTAGCATTTGATGAGCCCAGAATGGGCAATTGTGGTCATGAGTTGGAAGGGTTAGATTTTGAAAAACATTCATCCTAGCCCAGCAGTTTATTTACAGTCAAAGAACCCTCCCCAGCTTCATATCAGGGGGGAAGGGGTGCACCAGTGATGACAACTTTTGAAAACCACCAGTCAAAGCGCAGGGTAATGTTATGAGGACAAAAAGAACAGGCACATGTTGTCATGTTAATTGAGAAGATTTGTGCAGTAAGCAGCATCTTTGGACGTATTTTGGTAAATGAGAGGAAAGGAATTGTGGCTCTATAAATAGGAAGTCAATTCCAAGCACTAGGAGATGTTGAGAAGGTTGACACATGTAGGATGGACTTCTGAGTGGAAAGTCAAGAGTGGGAGAGAGTTGTATTAGAAACAGGAACTATGTGGCAGGATAGATGGGTGGTAGAAGCTCTTCTGTATATTTAAATCAGCTAGTTTTAGAGGTTTGGGGTTTAATAGTTCAAAAGTTTTTTGCAATAAATTTTAGCAATGCATCTTCTCCACTGAACTGTTCTAAGAAAAAGTCCCAGTTTCTCTGGTCAGAATTTAGGACTTAAAGAGGATAGTTCTGATAGAGATGGGAGGCCTTTGTGCTGACTTCTGATCTGGGGTACCGATTGTTTTTTTCTTTCTCTGTACATGACTTTCACATCTGCTGTTGCACTGAAGGACTGAGTCTAAAGTTCTTCCTCTGTGCATAGATGCATTGTGCTTTAGTGTGTCACATCTCGACTTCAGCTGTCAGCTATGCTGTACATTACAACAACAGGAATTTTATTAGTGATTCTACTTTTGGTTGAGGAATTTGTGCATGACGAAAAAAAAAAAAAAGCCATTTCCAAAAGCTATTAGAGCTTTCACGTGAAAACAAAAACTCTTTTCCCCTTAGGAAAGAATGAAATACATGTAATAACTTTGAAACTTCCTCAACATGTAGCTGTAAGAAGTTATGAAGAATATGTGGTGCCAAATACATAAAACAATATATCCTACCACAGTGAGGATTTAAATATAGTTCCTATGGCTGGGCAGCAGTAGCACTAAGTCATTATGAAGTGCTGCTTTGCTATTTCTTCCTTGGTTAGCTTAGTATGAGACAAAATGCCAGTGCCATTATAGAGATATGGTCTCACTTGATTTCTTTTTGACATTAACATGCCATCTATACATGTTGATGTAAATAGCTGATGAGTTGTGGTGCATTTATAGTTGTTGGTTTGGGACTATGCAGCTCTTTTATTTCCACTATTTTAGTCTTCACGTTGCAAATGGATTAACATCAATGGGCATGGAAAACTTCATATGGAAATACCAGCACTGACTTAAAGATATGTAAGGGTTGGACTTGCCTATCATTTTCAGTTTTAAGTAATAAAGTTTGTTCTATTTGTAGAAGTGATAATTGGTGATTAGAATATTTTCAGTGGAAAAGGTGTCATAGTTGTCAGAATTTGCATTCAGATCTGAAACTTGGAAGAGTTGTGTGATGCTTGTTTTCAGGTGTTCAGTTGCATATGGCTTGATGTTTTTTAGAGGGAAAGCAATTGCATGAGTGCTTATTTGAATAGATTAATGTTTATTACTAGAGTTTTCTCTTTCTTTTTTAGATGCCTGCGCAAGACATGCAAAGAAGAAATTAAAGGAGCAGAAGGAGACTCACTAATATTACTTTAAGTTACCATAATCTCAAAGCAGTTTTTAAAGCCTTTTTTTACTCACTTTCTGAAAAGAAATGCTCGAAGTTAGGCATGTCCTTTTCCAAGAAAAAGCAAATCTCAGCAGATTAACATTGTTAAATATGCGGTGTGTTAAACATACACTGCTTCAAATTTTATAGTTTATACACTATTGGTCTATCGGGCCCTTCCAGGAAAGCACTTACAAGCATGCCTAATGTTAAGCACATGAGCAGTGATCTTAAAGTCAGCAGTGCTGTTCGTGTGGATAAGTGCTTTGCTGGATCAGCGCCTAAAGCCCTGTTAGGTGCTGAGCATCCTGATCCATATCCAGCAAAGCACTTACGACCATGCTTATCTGAAGTGGAAGAGCCAGTCCTAACTAATATTTGTGCATTAGTGTTCACCATAAAATCTCTCTTGGCACAATGACTCACATGCTTAAAATTAAGCACCTGCCTAAGTATTTTGCAAGGTCAGACCATCAGCATCTTCGAGCAAGTCTTAAACAATTACTTGATTTTGTATAATTTTCATTTTGTACTAGTCATTTTTTTAAGTGAGTATGTGATTTTGATGGCCATAATTGCAAGTTTTAGAAGCTGCATGGCAAAATACATTGTATGCCATTTTGTCCTTTCATTTCCAAAATCTTGCTAAATTCCACAAGATGGCCTTTTTGACTAGAAGTCCAATGTTAAGACTTAGAAGCACCCAAAATGGAAAAAATGTTAACTATTTTTTAGGGCATTTACCTGTTTTGAAATTATTTCACTGAGTTCGATTCAAATGGTTTTGTCCAACCCTGACCTTTTATCCATAAGATGTTTTTACCTGGCTCTGGTTGTGTGGACAGACTGACTCTTGAAGTGCTAAAGCTTGAGGTAGGATATGTGTTCAGAGGGGCAGATAGAGAAGCTGTATTTTTGAGGGTTTTTTTTAAAATTATTTGTTTTTCCTAAGGTATTGAAACCTTAGAAAAGTTTATAAAATAACGTGTGAATTTTGTGTTGAGAACTAAACCAAAACCTATATAATCCTCCAGGTTAAAAAAGAAAG